CTACCAGAGCTCCTTCTTACTGGCTATACTTCTTCCTAAATAGATGAATTTGTTCTTCAGGCAGTCTATGGTATGTTCAATATTTTTCACCAATACCATAGCTCAGATCTACCTGTTGTTTTGTTCTTGTTAAGTGCCATCGAGTCAATTCCAACTCATAGGAACCCTGTATGGGTTTCTGAGGAGCGACAGGTGAGTTTGAACCACTAACCTTGCTGTCCAGTGCTTATCTTATAGTGCCGCACCCTTCTTTATTTATTGTCCAGCTTTCATATGTATATGACACGATTGAAAATAACATCGCTTGTGTCAGGAGAACCTGTGTCCTCGATGTGGCATCTTTGCTCTGTAACAGTTTAAAGAGGTCTTTCACAGAAGATTTGCCCAATGCAATACATTGTTTGATTTTAAGTTACAATGCAGTAAATAATTATTTATTTGCTGGTGTGGTGCTGTAGGATAAGCACTGGACTGCTAACCACAAGGTAATAATTCAAACCCTGTACAGGGTCCTTATGAGTCGGAACTGACTCAAACTTAAAACAACAATTTAAGATATTAGAAACATTGAGAATGTAAGTGTTTTATTTCTGTGTAATAGTTTGTTTTCTCTGAGGGAAAAGGAGAAATAAATTAATCTAGGGCCAACCTAGGTTGAGCTGGAGATTTACATTTTCAGTGTTTTTGTTGTTATGAAGTGCCATCAAATTGGTTCCAGCCCATAGCGACCCTGTATAGGGTTTCTGAGGAGCAGCTAGTGAGCTTGAACCGTCGACCTTGCAGTTCAAACAGTTTTGCAGTCTGGCACATTAACCCACAGGGCCATACCAGGACTCCATTATATTTTCAGTACAAATCTTAATATATTTTTTCTTTGTTGCTTTTGCAAAATCACATTTGGTTGGTTTTTTCTAACTTATGACACAGAATGGACATCTTTTCTACACCTTGCAAGTTGTCATGCTCCTAAATTTGAATGGTGAGCTTTCAACATTTTTCCTTTGCACTTTCAATATTCCGAAATACCTTTGAGAATTTGATGTCTAAAAAAAAATTTTAGGCTTGTAGTGGCTATGGGGGTTTCTTAGAATTTTGTACAATTTTAAGATTCCTTTGTCCTTTCAATGTTAGGAAATACACTTGAGAATTTGTGTTCTTAAAAAAAAATATTTGGGCTTGTAGTGATTATGAGATTTCTTAGAATTTTAAGAAGATTCCTTTGTCCTTTCAACACTGAAATATACTTGAGAATTTGTTTTCTTTAAAAAAAAAATCTTTAGGCTTCAAATGACTATAGATGTCTCTTAGAAGTTTGTGCAATTTTAAGAAGATTCCTAGAAGGAGGCTTATTGCTCATTATTAGAGACAGCTTAGCATTATATTTTCTAAGCTCCCTTTAAAAATATAGACAATGAGGTTTATCATTCTATATCAGTGACTTTCAAAATTTTTAGCAGCATTAGCAATGGTTTTCAAGATTTTTTTTCAAGTGAAATCATACTCAAAGCAGAACTATACTAGACAAAAGATGTGAGGATGAAGTATCCAAAGTTCTTTTCTGCCCTTCAGCTCCTGAGATTGTCCCAAATACCTTCAAGAACTTAGCTTGTAGTTATCTGCACTTATGGTAGATCAAAGATCTGTAGTTGATGAAGTACAGTTGTTAAGATCGCCATATGCCGTGAAACAGATCAAGTGAAAAATTAGACATATGAAGACTTTCCAGAATATTGAAGTCTCAATATCATCCCAGGCCTGACAACCTGGCCCCCTGTTTCTGTCCTGAGTAGGATCCAATATTATGCTTCAACTATCCCTCTAAAGCTTTGCCTCAGATTGGTTCTAATTCCCTGCACCCAGGTTTGACCATGTCTTGGATCCTACTTTTTGATGCCCATATTCACCAGGAACTTCCAAACATGAGTCAGGCTTGTACAAGACACCCATCCCTGGTATCTGCAAGAAATCACTCATGGTCCTACTTACACCTAATTTATTTTGCTATTTCCTTCCTCATGAACCTTTGCTCTCCTCAAGGCTCTGTTACTAAAACTTCTATATGTGCAGTCTCCTTTCTAAAAGTCTTCGTGTTCTTTAATTAGTTCTTTATCCTGTTTATAAGGATCCCTGGTGACACAGTAGTTAAAGTACTTGGCTGCTAATTGAAACGCTGATAGTTCAAACCCATCAGCTGCTACATGGGAGGAAGATGTGGCCACCTGCTGCTGTAACAATTTACAGCCTGAGAAACTCTATGGAGCAGTTTTACTGTGTCCCATAAGGGTCACTCTGAGTCAGAATCGCCTTGAGCACAGTGTGTTTGATTTGGGGGCTTGTCCTTTTTATGAGATCAAAACCAGTTGTTGGAGCCAGTCATTCTTTTCAGTAACAATCAGACCTCATTAAGATATTAAGTTGGTGGTGGTGGCAGTATGCCATGGAGTTGGTACTGACTCATAGCGACCCTGTACAGGGTTTCCGAGGCTGTAAATCTTTACGGGAACAGAAAACCTCATCTTTCTCCCGTGGAATGGCTGGTAGTTTCGAACGCTGACCTTGAGGTTAGCAGCACGACTCTTAACCGTTACGCTACCAGAGCTCCTTTAGTTAGCTCTCATTAATGTTCTGACAAAGTCTTCATGAGCAAAATTCCTGCATCCTACTTTTTGAGGCAAAAGGCAGAGGAAATGGAGGAAATATAGAACACAGAGGGAAGCAGATTTGAAAGAAAAGGAAAATCTTTTAAAGTTTCCATAATGATATTTTTATCATTATAAAGATGCATGAGAGGAGGAAAAAGAGAAAGAAAAGAGGAGGAAACGAAACTTAAGGGGAAATGTTTTATCAGAAAGAAAAAGAAAACATGCCTGAATAATGATATTTACAAAGTTGGAGGGGTTATTGGAGTGTGTGTGTGTGTGTGTGTGTGTGTGTGTCTGTGTGTGTCTGTGTGTATGATGTTCCCTTACTTCTCTATGGCTCCCAGAACTGTCTGATCTCACACCCCCTGTAAAATCTAAAATTTGCAAACATTCATGAAAACTAAAGTTGTATAGTTCAGGATCCTTGGTCACTAGTCATTACCAACTGATCCTCCAGTCCAAAAAGTTGTTCCAAATAAGTTTCAGACAATCTTCGAATTTTTGGTTTCACTGCTGGATCAATGCATATATCCCTTTAAGAAAACCAGAAAATATAGTCAAAAAATATTTCATTTCATAGTATTTAGTTCCACAATATGCTTATGCTTAGAGTCTCTCCCAGTGGTTGTTATAGGGGAAGGAATGGAAGAGACAGTTCTCCTTGGGAGAAGCATATCAGGATCATCTGGAAGACTTTATCAAACTGTCCCCCAACATTTCACTGAGCTCCCAAGGAAAGTGCATTCATTGTCTTTACTTCCCATTTGAAGCAAACTGTCTTGTGACTGCATGTTACTGATGAAGACATGCATACTTACATTTCTCAGCAGGAGAACCAGTGCTGGAAATATTCCTATGTAAGCCTTTAGGGCTTACAAGTTTATGGGGAAGGTTTCTTCTTTCACGGTCCCAGAAAAAAACACTGGTAACACTTTGGTGTGGCTTGTGGTCCCCCATCTCCAAATTTATTTTCGATGTTTAGATTTTAATATGCTTTTCAAATTCATTTGATTTTCATTTTATATTATAATCTAAGTATTTATTATGTAATCATAATTTTTTAACTTTTTATTGTGAATTGAGTGAAGGTTTATAGAGTAGATAGATCATCAGTTCTACATTATTAAACAAATCATATACTTTGTTTTCATTACAATGACTGCAATTCCTTCCATGTACTAACAGTTAATATTATTTACCTCTATTCACTTTAACTATTGCATTCCTCCCTGTGTCTCCCACTGCCTTCATCTTTCCTCTGCTAACCTCCCTCTCATTGTGTATTGCCTTCCCTGTCACCCATGTTAACATGTGTCTATACTCTAGCCCATGAATATTTTCCCTCCACCTTTCCCTAACCATAGATTGCTTCTTTTATCAAGAAAACCATTCTTACTTTTCTACAGCATTTGTCTCATACAACATTTGTTCTTTTGTGATTGACTAATTTTATTCAGCATAATGTCCTCTGGGTTCATCCATGTTGTGAGGTGTTTTAGATTCATCGTTACTCTTCACCATTGCATAGTGATCCATTGTGAAAATATGTACCAAACTTTGCCTAACCATTCTTATGTTGATGGGCATTTAGGCTGTCTCTATCTTTTTGATATGTCTCTTGTAGACAGAATATTGAAGGATCCTGTTTCCTTATGCATTCTGCTCTGTCTCTTGACTGATGCATTTAATACATTTACATCCAGTGTAATTATCAATAGGTATGAATTGAGGGCTATCATTTTGCTGTGTGTGTTTTTCTGATGCTGCTGGTTTGTTCATTTTGTTTGTGGGATTCCTTCTCTTCATTTCTGTAATGTTAATGTCTACTAAATCTTTCTGGTTTTCTTCTTTTTTATTTTGATGTATAATTATATTAATTTTCTTAGGTTTCCCTACAACTTATTAATTTTTCTCTGCTTAAAAAGGTCTGTTTTAAAGATTCAGAAAAGTGGCAGGATATAAGATCAACATACAAAAATCAGTTGGAGTCCTCTATACCAAAAA